TTTTTTTTTGTTTTTTATGATTGTCTACTGTTGTACTGATAAATATCTCGTGGAGGGTAAACTATATCTTGGCTGCAAGTATCAAGCTGTGAAATACTTTGTTTTCTACAACTGATAGTGGTTGTTCATTAATTACGATGACGCTAAGCAGCTTCTCAGTAAACATTCGAGCTCCGGGGCTTCAGCGATGTCTTCTTCTTGTTCAGTCTGACGCAAGCAGCCTGATTTCAGTCAGTCCCGCTCAGTCTGTTCCTCCTCAGAGACGGGCAGATTTAGCGGGGCAGATTGGACACGGCGGGCCAAGATCGAGTTGCCTGTTTCGGGTTGAGCAAGAGTAGCGCCACGTTGAAGCCCCGGAGTTCGAATGTCCAACGTGAAACGTTGGTTACGTACTGTAACCCCAGATTTTATGAGTATAGGTGTAGCCCTTTAAGAGCTGTTGCTTAGTGGGTTTATCCCGTCATGCAAAGCATCGCACTGAAAAATTTAGTCCACGCCCACCTGCTGTGTGGGCCCCACCCGGTCCGTATAAATTACGTTAAGAGCGGGCAATTGGCTCCCAGATAGTTTTTTCTTCAGTCATTTAGGAGCCAGTGAGGCCCGACCCTTAAAGGGCTATGCCTATACTCATAGAATCTGGGGTTACAGTACGTAACCAACGTTCTATTTCGTATAGGCTTCGCCCTTTAAGGCTGTCGCTTAGTGGGTTAAGGGCGAACCAGATGTGGTCCTCACCTCACTGGGTCCATTCGAACACCGTACGAAGCGGCAGCTTGCCCAAAAAACGTCTTGTCACTCAGTTCTCCATGTGCATAATTACGCGTTGCGTAATTTTGCGTACCATGCACAGACGCATGCTGTGAAGTTATGCGTTCTGAGTGCATGAACGCCCCGGAAACTCTCAACGGAGAAAGGAAGATGCTGAAAAAGGGCCATGAATCAACAGATTCACGGCTGAACAATATGAACAGATTAATAATAACAAGTGAACTGATTATTAATCAAATGAACTGATTGGTAACAATAGTCATGAACTGATTAATGACAATAGAACCAAAATAACAGTCACAACTTGTGGCTGATAACAACAACTCACACTGTAATGCATGAGGTCAGATGTGAGTTTAAACGGGGTTCCATGAAATAACAATATTCATTCTGTTAAAACACTAAGGACAGAATGTGTCATGGAACGAGCCGTCACATCACGTAGATAGAAGCAAATAAATGAGCAGGGTGTTGACCACGCGGCCGCAGTGCAAATATCCTGCATTGTCATACCATTATGCAAAGCAGTCGAAGATGCGATACCTCTGGTCGAGTGTGCCCTGAGGTTGACAGGAGGCTCTAAATCTGATGCTCTGTAGGCTTCAGAAATGGCCTCACATAGTCAGTGTGACAGGCGCTGGGTGGATAACGGGCGACCTGCAGATGCATCTCTATAATGCATCTGCATTATATCAAGTGGGCGTGAAACAGGCCTGCGTCTCAGTACACCTTTTAAAAACGCTTCATCAGCGGATGATTAAAAGCTGTTCTGTCCCCGAAACCTTCATGACAGGAAGAGATGGCTGCAGCGTACGTTTTAATCGTGCTGGACGCCAAATTTCTGTCCATCAGCTGCTGCAGAAAGGACAGCCCGCTGTCTAGTGGACATGAGGTGGCCTCTACACCTTTCTCTGTACACCAGCACTGAAAAGCTGTCCACTTTGATGTGTACAGCGCTGTGGTGGATGTAACACGTGAATCCTAGATTGTGCGCACTACATCTTGAGGGAAACCCATTCTCTCTAAGCGGATCCACTCAGCGGCCAGACCCACAGGTGCTGGCCTATTTCTGGGTAACTCCTGATCGCTTCTCCCTCCACGGCAGTTTCCACGGGTGCCCCAATAACAGGCATCGTAGAACCGGGAATCATGGTGCGTTCACGAGCTCGGGAGCCACCAGGAGAGCTGTCAATCCCTCCTCCTGGACTCGGTTCAGAAACCGTAATATCAGAGGAGGTGGGGGGAACGCGTAAAGAAGCGTTTTGGGCCATGGGCTCTGAGCAAACGCGTCCACCCCCAGCGGTGGTTCATCTCGCGGGCTCAGTGAAAACCATAGTTGACACTGAGCATTTTCTCATGTCGCAAACAGGTCCACAGCCGCTTTGCCAAATTTCTGCCACGTCTGGGCCATCAGATCGGGGTGGAGAGTCCAGTCCCCGTGACGCGGACCGCCCCTGGACATCACATCTGCCCCTTGTTCAGAACACCGGGGATGTATACTGCTCTGATGGAGAGCAGATTTTGGTGTGCCTAACACAGTAATTTTCTCGCAGTGTTTAACATTTGGGCTGAGCGCACACCCCCCTGCCGGTTTATGTAAGCAGCAGTAACCTTGTTGTCGGCATGAATCAAAATGTGTTATTTATTTATTTATTTATTTATTTAATTTTTAAACAGGAAAAGATTAAAAGAAATCGGGCCTGGCTCAGCATAATTGCTGTTTTACAGCAGGTTCCTGTTCTGCAGAACATAAATTAAGCACACAGATATTCAGCATCACACCTCATTAATAGACATACAGACACGTCACATTACAAAACACAAGAACAGCAGCATTTACACGGCAGACACCTAACAGTGATTGCAAAAGAAGGAGTCTAACAGATGACGCACATGAGTCTTCTTAAAAAGTGCCAATGTTGAGATGGATTTCACATGTTGTGGAGTGTCATTCCATGCTTTGGTGTAAACATAGAAAAACGATCTCTGTCCATAACAGTTTTTAAAGGCTGGTAGTGGCAATTGTCCGCTTGTAGCAGCTCTAGTTGAGCGACCATTTCCACACTTGGATTTAGGGATCAAAGCAGAGAGAGCTACATTATTAATACCATAAAAAACCTGGAAATACAACTTAATACTGCTGTGTAGGACATAATTTTGAAAAGTTAAAGCATTTGAAGAAGAAAGAGCTATACAGTGATGAGTCCAACCAGGGAGTTTGTTGTGGATTTTGTAGGCCCTGTTGTAGAGCCTAGCGATGGGTTTTAATATTTCATTAGTAGTGAGAGACCAGACAGGTAAACAGTACGACAGAGTTGAAAGTATTATGGCATGAAGATAAGTGTTGGAAACAGAAGATGTCAGATTTGATCTAATTTTGGAGTAAACATACATTTTTTGTTTCAGCTTAGTACATAAGGATTGCACATGATCATGATAAGTTAAATGAGAATCCAAAATAACTCCCAGATATTTATAAGTAGTGACAATAGAAAGAGGTTTGTTTAAAAAAGTAAGAGGATTTGATATAGTAAAATGTTTCCTAGGTGAGGAAAAATACATGCATACGGTTTTTTTTACATTAATCGTTAAGCGATTTTCTTGTAGCCAGAAATGAAATTGCTGAAGATCTGCATGTAACTGACTGTTGATAGAATCAGTATTTGAACCAGACAGGAAAAGAACAGTATCATCAGCGTACATTAAAATATTAGAGTGATTAAGTACTTTTGGAAGGTCATTTATGTAAAGTAAAAAAAGCAATGGTCCCAGTATACTACCCTGCGGGACTCCCACAGAGCATGGCAGTGATCGGGATATACAACTTCCATGTTTCACTACCTGACACCTGTCAGTTAAATAGGAAGAAAACATTTGTATTGCAGAAGAAGAAAGTTGAAAAGAAGTCAATTTTTGTAAGAGAGTATAATGATCGACTGTATCGAAGGCTTTACGGAAATCGATGTATACAGAACCAGTTATTTGACCTTTATTCAGAGCAGCACGTATTTGTTCAGTAAATAATATTAATGTTGACATGGTTGATCGAGAAGCACGAAAACCATGTTGGTTATCACTTAACATATTATTAACCTCTAAATGGTGAAGTAATTGGTTAAATAGTGTTTTTTCAAGTAACTTGGAAAAAGTTGGAAGAACTGAAATTGGTCGATAATTTGAAACATCAGTTGGATCGCCAGATTTGAAAATAGGAGTAATCTGTGCAGACTTCCATTGTTGATTCTGTAACATAGGAGCAAAGTGTTGAATCACATTCAGAACCTTGTGACATTCCTTAACGTTTATATGAGC